CTCCCTCCCTCCCTCCCTCCCCCCTCCTCCCTCCCCTCCCCTCCCTCCCTCCCTCCCTCCCCCATATAGTTTCGTTGGGGATTTTAATGTTTTGTCATATTGATAAACATAAAGTTGAAGACCATTTGACTCCATCATTGTTTTCATAGAGTTGAGTTCAGTAATAGAGCCTCGTATTGGGTTATATTTACCGTATGTTCTCCTACCCCTGTGACGTCTTCAGTGACTCTTAAGATCTATGTATATTCTCAATGTGATAACTTATCTTTACTATCAGAAAGTATTATTCACGATAAGTGGCTCACTCACTCACTCACTCACTGTCAGTAAAATATAACTTACTGTAATGTGCGTTGGGCGGTGTAAACGTTAATACAGTATCTACAGAAATTTGTTTAAGGTGAACAGGAATTATTTAAGGTGTCTCGTAAGTTTTGCTAAATAACCTTTGGAAGGCCAGGTTAAATCTAATGTAAATATCAATGTAAATTCAGACACTCGGAAGAATATACTAATGTCCAAATATTGTTTAAGAGTGACTTGGCGCCAAGAGTTAGTGCTATGAGTGTGTGGGATAGGTCAGTGTGTTGCAGCTCGGTGCCACTGACCCCACACAAAAACACTGACCAAGAACTTGTGCTCTTTATAGGGCGAAAGTTTCCTCCTCCGGCTTCCAACACTCGCTGTGGGTCGTGCAGGGCACTTGGCTTACGCTACACAGGCTGCCCTGGATAGTTCATGTACAGTTCGTTACAGTGAGTTGGGTTGCCAACTCCTGGCGGCGCGGCGTGCTGCTCGCTGTTGTTTTAACGACCTCCTGCTCGAAATAGGCTGGAAGCTAATATGACCTGAGGACTACAGTAATATATAAAACGATATCTGTATAATAAATAATGTTTAGTACTTGGTAGTGTTGAAAGTTGTCAGTATTGAGTATAAATTAATAGATGATGCTGACGTAATGATCGATCAAACCCTAATTAATATGGAAGCGACGTTATTGTAATAGTGTCATCCAGTAGTAGTGTATTAGGTCATTGCCTCCCCGTGACCTTAAGTTAGGAAAAGGACACAATATATTTCTTAAAAAATTTAATCAATATTATTTTTAACCAGAAATAATCCACTTGAAAACTATATATTCCGTACATCATTATTTAGCATTATTTAAAAACACCCGGAAAATGGTGAATATAAACCTCGAAGCAAAGTAACACTGGGGCATAATTATTCAGGAAGTATTATTATGAACCAGAGATGTAGAGCAGATGGTGGGGGGGGAGGGGGACCTGGCAGCCACTGTTGATAGTTGACATCGGGAGGTGGGTGTAGGTTTAGATGAAGTATTGGGGCAACAACACGGATTCCACCTCAGCTCAACAACCTGGTGATTCCTCGACCCATCTTAACCCTCTTCACTACATGGGGCGTCGCTTATAACTTGGCTGACGTCAGAAAATATTTAGCACAGAGACACACCTCCCCTGAGACACACCCCCACCTGGGACACACCTCCCCTGAGACACACCCCCCTGAGACACCCCCCGAGACACACACCCTGGGGCCACACCCTTCCGTGAGACACACCCTTCCGTGGTTACACCATCGTGAGACACACCCTTCCGTGAGACACACCCTTCCGTGAGACACACCCTTCCGTGAGACACACACCCTTCATGAAGTCCTTCCAGTGAGATTACACTTCCGTGAGACACACCCTTCCGTGAAGACACCTCCCTGAGAGACACCCTCCCTGAGACACCCTCCCTGGGGGCACCCTGAGACACACCCTCCCTGAGACACCTCCTGAGACACCTCCCTCCCCTGAAGCACACCCTCCCGAGACACACCCTCCCCTGAGACACACCCTCCCCTGAGACACACCTCCCCTGGGGCCACACCCTCCCTGAGACACACCCTCCGTTGAGACACCCCTCCCCCACAGAGACACCCCCTCCCCACAGAGACACCCCTCCCCACAGAGACACCCCCTCCCTGAGACACACCCTCCCCTGAGACACCCCCTCCCCACAGAGACACCCCTCCCCACAGAGACAACCCCTCCCCACAGAGACACCCCCTCCCCACAGAGACACCCCCTCCCCACAGAGACACCCCCTCCCCACAGAGACACCCCCTCCCCCACAGAGACCCCCCCTCCCCCACAGAGACACCCCCTCCCACAGAGACACCCCCTCCCCACAGGACACCCCCCTCCCCACAGAGACACCCCCTCCCCACAGAGACACCCCCTCCCCACAGAGACACCCCCTCCCCACAGGACACCCCTCCCCACAGAGACACCCCCTCCCCCACAGAGACACCCCCTCCCCCACAGAGACACCCCCTCCCCACAGAGACACCCCCTCCCCACAGAGACACCCCCTCCCCACAGAGACACCCCTCCCCCACAGGACACCCCTCCCCACAGAGACACCCCTCCCCACAGAGACACCCCCTAGACACCCCCTCCCCGTATATAAGGGGTCAATAAACCATCTCCACTAATCACATGTTAGTAGATGTTACCTGAAGAAGGCAGGAATTGATAGAGAAGGCAGGAATTGATAGAGAAGGCAGGAATTGATAGAGAAGGCAGGAATTGATAGAGAAGGCAGGAATTGATAGAGAAGGCAGGAATTGATAGAGAAGGAAGGAATTAATAGAGAAGGAAGGAATTAATACAGAAGTAAGGAATTAAGTCAATCATAGACAATACTTAAGGTTTCGACCCGAGTTTTGAAGAGCTTGAGACGCATTTAGCCATCCTTGACCACAGGAGCCAAGTGACTGATGAATGTAAACACTGAACCTAACGTGTGTTGTTGTCTGGGCGGTGGCGAGGAAACAAGTGTAAATATCATCTTTATGGTTAAGTGTACTAGAGTAGAAATTTGTTTGGTTGTGTTGGAGAGTTTACCTTATTATTGCTCAATTATGTCACTTTACATGGGAGAATTTTACCCAGGAATTGGATAAATGTATCTAGCTTTTGGGGGGCATTTTAGATGTACTTTTTTGGAGGGCATTTTAGATCTACCTTTTAGGGTTCATTTTTGTTTCATTTAGTGTCTCACTGGTGGGCATTGTGTCTGGTAAAGTTATAGGCTGGTATGGTGAGCGGCCGTGTTGTGGTAATGGTATGGTGTCCGTGTTGTGGTGATGGTATGGTGAGGGGCCGTGTTGTGGTAATGGTATGGTGAAGGGCCGTGTTGTGGTGATGGTATGGTGAAGGGCCGTGTTGTGGTGATGGTATGGTGAAGGGCCGTGTTGTTGTGATGGTATGGTGACCGTGTTGTGATGGTATGGTGACCGTGTTGTGGTGATGGTATGGTGAAAGGCCATGTAGTGCATTGGCTGTTAGCTCGGGTACAAATATCTAAGACATTAGTTCTGATGGATCCTGCTTCATCTGAGATCAATTTAGACGATAATAATTATATTTTAGTTATAATCATGAACTGGAAATTTGATTGGTTAGGGATCGTAATTAAGTGTGATTAACCATTGAAGTCAACAGTTAATGACCACTTAATTACACCAAACAACCCACTGGACCAATTAGGTCATTAGAGAAGCCTGGTTATTACTGGATGAACCAATTTAACTAAAGCTAGAGTAACATGTATACACTACCCGGTACATGGGTAGGTTGGTCCCCAGTTGCCTGGTGTTGTGAGTGTTGCCTGGTGTTGTGAGTGTTGCCTGGTGTTGTGAGTGTTGCCTGGTGTTGTGAGTGTTGCCTGGTGTTGTGAGTGTTGCCTGGTGTTGTGAGTGTTGCCTGGTGTTGAGTGTTGCCTGGTGTTGCGTATGTTGCCTGGTGTGTTGTGTTGCCTGGTGTGTTGAGTGTTGTCTTGTGTTGCGAGTGTTGCCTTGTGTTGCCGGTAGTGTGAGGGGGACTAGGCTGGCACTGTCCCAACTCCACTACCAACGTGGTCATTAAATATCGCCGGGTCTTGGGTTCGTGTACTCGCTTATTTGCAGAAGTCTGAATAAAATCGTCGAGTGGTTTAACTAGTTAGGTGGATGGTATGAATTATTTAACAGGCAACAGCACTTACCAGTTCTCATCAGGTAGTCAGTCCCCTCCACTTGTGCGTTTACAGGGACTCGTCAGGTTTAGAGCAGTGTGGCAACGTTGTGTTTGTTTACATTTAACAGAAGGAAACTAACAATAGTAAACACTAATATGGAATCAAAGGTAAACAATATTAAAACACATATCTCAAAGGTAAACAATATTAAAACAAATATCTCAAAGGTAAACAATATTAAAACAAATATCTCAAAGGTAATGATTTGTGGAATGTTTACATGAGGAGCCCCTGTAAACGCACTAGTGGAGGGGACTGTACACGTGATGGTCCCGTGTTGGTGTTTTTATCACCTAACCTAACAGCCGTAAGAAGCAGGTTTGGCGGTTTGTTACTGCTTGGTGGATCTCGTGTGCCACATTCCTCGAGGGTGTTGCGTGCATACGGCCTGATATTTTTAGCCCGGGTACAACATTGTCAAGACACGCTGCTCCTAGACTGGACAGAGGCCCAAGGTCGATGTTGGTGTGTGTAGTCGACCTGTGGTGTAATGGTCAGCATCCTCGCTTGACCAACCAGCGGACCCGGGTTCGATCCCCGGGTAGGGTGAAACTATGGGCAAGTTTCTTTACGCCATTTGCCTCTCTATCCAGCAGTAATTGGGAACCTGGATGCTAATAGATTTGCGGATCGTATTCTGGGGTAATGGTTAGCCAGTGCAGTTGGCGAGTTGTCCGGTCTTCTCGGACTATTCCTTGACACTGGGTCATGCAGCTCGTTAACTTAGGGTGTGGTTGTGGTGTTGGCGACAGCTTCTACACCTTAAACAAATTTACGCTTAGGAGGCCCTTGGGCCGGCCATCCTCGTTACACGAGGGGGCAACCATTATTATTATTATAGGTGTCTCTCTCTTGTAGATAATTTACTAGGTGTTTTAAACTGAAGGAGGTGTCCCCGTGTTACAGGATGGTGGAGTCGTGGGAGTACCCGCCTGCCCAGGGCCTCTATGACCCGTCCTACGAGAGCGCTGCCTGTGGTGTCGGCTTCGTCGTCAACATCGATGGCGTCGCTTCAGCCAAGGTAAGGTTAGGTTAGGTTAAAACTCGACACTGGTGAAACTTATTGTCACGGCAACACTAACACTACTTTAGTACAGTACTGCACAAGACATAAACACCTTGCACAGTACAGTACACTTCCAGAACACACACACACACACACCACCCAAAGCACAAGTGTCAATAGCCAACCACCACAACACACAAATTTTCTTAGATTAATTTACACACACCAGATAGGCAGATACTATTTACACCAGGTACTATTTACACCAGATACTATTTACACCAGGTACTATTTACACCAGGTACTATTTACACCAGGTACTATTTACACCAGGTACTATTTACACCAGGTACTATTTACACCAGGTACTATTTACACCAGGTACTATTTACACCAGGTACTATTTATAATTTGGTAGGTACTATTTATAATCTTTAGGTACTATTTACACCAGGTACTATTTACACCAGGTACTATTTACACCAGGTACTATTTACACCAGGTACTATTTACACCAGATACTATTTACACCAGATACTATTTACACCAGATACTATTTACACCAGATACTATTTACACCAGATACTATTTCCAAACAACTTCCAAAATTGTCTTGAGATGTTGAGGCAGGGAGGAGGAGAAGAGGGAGCAGGAGAAGAGGGAGGAGAAGGGGAAGAGGGAGCAGGAGAAGAGGGAGGAGAAAGGGAAGAGGGAGCAGGAGAAGAGGAAGGAGAAGAGGGAGGAGAAGGAGAAGAGGAAGGGGAAGAGGGAGCAGGAGAAGAGGGAGGAGAAGGGGAAGAGGGAGCAGGAGAAGAGGGAGGAGAAGAGGGAGCAGGGAGGAGGAGGAAAGAGGGAGGAGGAGGAGGAAAAGAGGGAGGAGGAGGAAAAGAGGGAGGAGGAAAAGAGGAGGAGGAAGATAAGAGGGGGAGGAGGATAAGAGGAGGATAGGAGGAGGATAAGAGGAGGAGGAGGAGGATAAGAGGAGGAGGAGGAGGATAAGAGGAGGAGGAGGATAAGAGGAGGAGAAGAAGAAGAAGAAGAAGAAGAAGAAGAAGAAGAAGATGTATAAATAGGAGCCAGACTGCACGTGTGTTGGTGTTAACTTGATCCTGACAAAAAACACCGAGGAAGTTTGTTTAGGTTTCGTGTTTGTTTGTGTTTTGCTGTTTTATTTTTTATTATTTTTTTTGGGTGTAAATTTCCTTTATTGTGTGTATGGTTGAGTGTGTGTGTGTGTGTGTGTGTGGTTGAGTGTGTGTGTATGGTTGAGTACATGTGTGTGGTTGAGTGTGTGTGTATGGTTGAGTGTGTGTGTGTGGTTGAGTACATGTGTGTGGTTGTTTGACTGTTTAGTTGATTGTGTGCGTGTGTACATGCCAACTCGCACGTGGCATACACCCACAAACTCCCCTCAGCCAAAGACACCCCTGACACACCCTGACACACCCTGACACCCCCGACACACCCTTGACACCCCCGACACCCCCCGACACCCCCGACACACCCCTGACACCCTGACACACCCCTTGACACACCTAACCCCACACCTAACCCACACACCAGTACTCCCCCCCACACCTCCCCCTCCCCAACACCTCCAACACACCCTTCATGTATTATAAAGTGTGTCGGGTCCTATCAGCATGACTTACCTGTACGACCCTTACGACCTTACCTGTGACCCTACCTGTGACCCTTACCTGTGACCCTTACCTGTACGACCCTTACCTGTACGACCTTACCTGTACGACCCTTCCTGTGACCCTTCCTGTACGACCCTTACCTGTACGACCCTTACCTGTACGACCCTACCTGTACGACCCTTACCTGTACGATCCTTACCTGTACGACCCTTACCTGTACGACCCTTACCTGTACGACCCTTACCTGTACGACCCTTACCTGTACGACCCTTACCTGTACGACCCTTACCTGTACGACCCTTACCTGTACGACCCACTTACCTGTGACCCTTACCTGTGACCTACCTGTACGCCTACCTGTGACCCTTACCTGTGACCCTCTAGCCTCCTGTAGACCTTATGTACGACCCTACCTGTAGACCCTTACCTGCACGACCCTTCCTGTACGACCCTTCTGTACGACCCTTACCTGTACGACCCTTACCTGTACGACCCTTACCTGTCCCTGTACGACCCTTACCTGTACGACCCTTACCTGTACGACCCTTACCTTTTGACCCTTTCTGTACGACCCTTACTCCTTACCTGTACGACCCTTTACCTGTACGACCTTACCTGTAGACCCTTACCTGTACGACCCTTACCTGGACCCTTACCTGTCGCCCTTACCTGTGACCCTTCTTCCCCTGTACGACCCTTACCTGCTACGACCCTTACCTGTACGACCCTTCCTCTGTACGACCCTTACCTGTACGACCCTTACCTGTACGACCCTTACCTGTGACCCTACCTGTACCCTGTGACCTTACCTGTAGCCCTTACCTGTACGACCCTTACCTGTACGACCCTTCCTGTCGACCCTTCCTGCGACCCTTTCCTGTGCCCTTCCTGTTGTTTCCTGTGACCTTTCCCTGACCCTTTCCTGTACGACCTTTTCCTGTACGACCCTTACCTGTACGCCCTTACCTGTACGACCATTAGTATTATAACAGGTGGTTGGGGTCACTTCACAGGCTCTTATCGTCATTGAAGTAGCGAAAACTTGGGTGGTTGGCGTAGTTTGTGTGTGTGTGTGTGTGTGTGTGTAGGTTAAGTTAGGTTAGTGTGAGGTGAGTTTAGGTTAGGTTAGAGTTAGGTTAGTTAGATTAGGTAAACGTTAGGTTAGGTTAGTGTATGATAGGTTAGCGTTAGGGTATGTTAGCTTAGGTTAGTGTTAGGTTAGTGTTAGGGTGGGTTAGGTTAGTGTTAGGTTAGTGTTAGGGTGGGTTAGGTTGAGTAAGTGTTAGAATTGTAAGTTGATGTTGGGTTATTGAGGTTAAGGTGGGTTAGGTTAGGTTGATGTTGTTGGGTTAGTGTTGGTGGTTGAGTTGAGTGTTTAGGTGGTGTTAGGTTGGTTTAGAAGTGTTAGGGTGGGTTAGGTTTGGTTAGTGTTAGGTTAAATAAACGTTAGAGCGATTAAAAGATGAAATAAGGCCATAGGCTTCGGGTAATTCGACGAACTAGTGAACGTGTTGTAGTGTAGATGGGAGAGTCCAGCAGGAGAGGTCTTTAACTGATAACGATGATGAAAGGTTTTAGAAGTGTAGCTGGGGTGGAGAGGGGTGGACGCAGACTCAGAGAGGGGTAAAGAGGAAGAGGGAACCTAACCCATCCCATCCCCCCAGTTAGTGTAAAGTTATTTAAATTAACCATCAGGTGAAATAAACAAGGGGGGCTAATCTTCAGGTGATCCGACTCCCAGTAACGAGTCATTTAGAACAAAGTCATTAAGGTAATTACCTGGTGCTTCAATGTGCTTGATCTGTTTTCTGGTGTGATTATGATGTCCAAAGCCTTCCATATCTTGTGCACATGTTATCTTGGTGCACGTGTCTGTATCTTGTGCACTTCTTCCTTATCGAGGTGTGCACTTAGAAAAGATTTTCTCGTTCATTTTTCCTCATTATATCTTGCTTAGTAATTTACTACTACTACTACTTTTTCTTTTTTAATGGCCTCCAGCCTCCCCAATATGCCTTTATTTCCTTACTATTTAAATATCCTAATACATAAGTAGCTATCCTGGCTGAGTTGGGGTTGAGTTGGTCTGCGGCATTCATTGTTGCCTCAGTCAATACCTGCAACTGTTGTCGGCTTTGGGGCGATGCTCTCGTTCCTGAGGCAGAGACCGAAGAAGGGCAGTCCGGGCTGCTGCTTCTGTTCGGAATCACCACTGCGAGTCTGGTGTGAAGCATCTTGCACTTGGTCCCATCCCACCAGAGGTTGTGAACACTAGAGGGTGACTTGATCAACGTTCTGAATTCTCTCTGCTATCTTGTCGTTCTCTTGTTCCGCAGCATCGAGAGCTAATTGCGATGCGGCCATGGGATCAAAATCCTGATGTGAAGAACCAGCCGCGTCCAGAATCCTCGTGCACTGACGTCAACACGGGCTTCGTTGGATGTGTTTGATGTCATAGGAAGAGCCACACGCATTGGGAGGGCAAACCTTCTACTGGCCTACCGTGCGAAACATTTGCCCTTATCGCTAACACCAGTTCAGGCACCTCATGCTGCTGCTACTCCACTACCAACTACTACTACTACAACCTCCCTTTACAACTACTTCCATTTCTCCACCACAAAACCAAAAACAACCACCACCACAACACCCACAACAACTACCACCACAACAACAACACCCACAACACCTCCTCCTAATAATAACAACAACAACAATATAACTCCATAAACCTCAGGTGTAATGTGCTAAGGTATTTCCTATCTGTGTGTAGTGAAGATTATAGTGTGTGCAGGTAGAGCTTAACGCTGTGCTGGTATATCTACCTTTAAAGGCTCTTCTGGATGCTTTGGTGCTGTACCTCCCCCCCTTCGTCCCTTCTGCAGTTGGCCTTCGTCTTCCCTCTTTTTGGGTAGGAGTCTCTTCCATCTCCTGTTTTCTCTGTCTTTTATCTCATTTTTATTTCTTTGTTTCCCTCTCCCTCTCTCCTCCCTCTCCTCCTCCTCCTCCCTCCCTCTCCTCCCTCTCCCTCCCTCCCTCCTCCCCTCCCTCTCCTCCCTATGTAAGAGTGAGAGAGGTAAACAACAGTATACTCTTGATTGCTTTAAGAAGACACGTATTACCTGACCCTGCAGAGGTGTGGCCTTGGTGGTACCTGGCAGGTGTTGATCTCTCTCTCTCTCCTACCTCAACCTCTCTTCCTCTCTTCCTTCTTCCTTGCCTCCCACTTCCTTCCTCCCTCTCCCCCACTCCTCCCCCCCACTCACGGGACTTGCAGGTATTGGATATGGTGGGTCAGAGGGTCTAGTAGGTCAGATAAGCTGGAGAGAGGAAGGGGGGGTAGAGGAGAGGAGGAAGAGAGGGAGAGGGAAGAGAAGAGTGAGAGGGAAAGAAGGGGTAGAAGAGGAGAGGGGGGGAAGGGGTAGGGGGGAAGGAAGGAGTGAGAGAGGGGAGGGAATGAGGGTAAGAGGGAGGAAGGGGGTAGAGAGAGAGGGAGGAAAGAGGTGAGAGAGAGAGAGGGAGGGAAGGGTGAGAAAGAGGAAGGGGAGTGAGAGAAGAGGAGAGGGATGAGAGAGAGAGAGAGGGAGGGAGGAGGGAAAGAATGAAGAGAGGAGGAGGTTGAGAGAGGGCCAGAAGGTGACATAGTGAAGGTGGGTCTGCAGGGAGCGGTGTGTAGGGTAGTTAGGGGATTTGTTTTAGGTCTGGGTGAAATGAAAAGAGGAATTTTATCTTCGCTCTGATGTAATAAATAGGGAGTTTTTAGGGGAAAAGGCTTATGAATAGGGAATTATTATGGATGGTAGGCCTATTGATTATTAGATAAACTTAACTTCTAACCTTCATCTTCCACAACCTTCTTATCTTCTGCCATCTTTTAATTAATTAGTGGTTTTGGTTTAAGTTGTTATAACCCTTGATTAAATTAACTAGACGTTGTATTAGGTAATATTATACAGGTATATAATTAACTTGGTGCGTCCAGAAAAGTACTAATGGGAAAGTTTGAAAAGTAGTTGGTGTAAAGGAAAAAATATTGGTAGAAAAGTTTGGAAAGTAGTTGATGTAAAGGAAAAAATATTGGTAGAAAAGTTTGAAAAGTAATATTAGGTTGAGAAAACTTTAATATTTTGACTCGTGTTTTTGGTTTAGAAAGTTTTATTTTTATTTTTGTGTCTAAGTTTGGGTTTAAAATTAACACTGTCTTACGGGATAGATAGATAGATAGTTAGATAGATAGTTAGATAGATAGATAGATAGATAGATAGTTAGATAGATAGATAGATAGATAGATAAAGACTTGATTTATAGACATACAAGGGAATAGGTAGTTAGGTACATAAGCAGGCAGATACAGTAGATAGACAGACTACAGTAGATACAGATAGATAATCATAAGCAGTTCTCGACCATCAATTCCTCTGGGCTTACATCAGTGTTGTGTCTGATCTGAGTGTTGATTCTGATAGTGTGTGTCTGATGGTCTGGCTCGTAGTGACTGTGTAGAACCAGTTAGTTGGTTCAGGGTGTGTAGAACCTGTAGTTGTTTACAGAGAAATTCAGTGTGTGTGTGTGTGTGTGTGTGTCCATGATTAGGTACACCCATCATGTAATCTGAGACGGTCACAGGACGATGATTTAAATGATGATGAAGATTGTGATGACGTTAGCTTGGATGCTCGCCCAGCCATCACCAGTGCTGGCCCAGTGCTCATGATTATTCTCGACAAGGTCAAGTTCGAGGTCTAAATGTGTCGTGTACCCAACCTCACGTGTTAGGGTTTAGAACTTGAGATTACGTTGAGAAGAGAGAGAGAGAGAGAGAGAGAGGTATTGAGAACTCGAGAATGTAAACAAACTTGCCCTGTACTGGAATCGTTTTCAACCAATCAGACTTTGTTATGAATTCTTCCGTATATCAACACTATGTACAGTTCCCTTCACTAGTGCGTTTACAGGGGCTCGTCAGGTTGTGTGGCAACGTTGTGTTTGTTTACATTCAACAGAAGGAAGCTCATAATAGTAAACACCACTATGGAATCAAAGGTAAACAATATTAAATCAAATATCTCAAAGGTAAACAATATTAAAACAAATATCTCAAAGGTAAACAATATTAAAACAAATATCTCAAAGGTAATGATTTGTTAGGAATGTTTATATGAGGAGCCCCTGTAAACGCACTAGTGGAGGGGACTGTACCTCTTTGGGTAACTATGGCACTTATTATTATTACTATGGTTATGATATTGATTTAATATTGGACTGTTATTTGAATATATATAATTTGTCATCTCTCTGTCTCTCTGTCTGTCTGTCTGTCTGTCTGTAGGAATGTCCGAATGTTTGTATAGTGCGCAGGTAGAGCATTCCGCCACAGCCAGGAAATTCATATAGGTAAAACGGATCACGTCAAATGCTCTCTCATTATTGCCCACGTGAACCAGCCAGAGTTGAACAGGTACACATACTGTACACACCCACACATACATACACACTGGTACACACACACACACACCCATTGGCACCACACACACCACATTTTTACCCCTTCTTGGCTAACGTTTCTCTAGTTTAGTTATTATTATCGACTAAGATACAAAACCTTAATGTGTGTGGTGTGGTGTATATAAGTCTGTCTGGCAGTTGTTGTGGTGTGTCAGCTGATTTGGGGAGGGAGGGAGTGAGTGGGATATCTTGGTTATTCTGGTATCCCTGCCACACCTCTCACTTAGCCTATGGTTGCTCTGTATTCCCTGTACCCTCCTCTCTCACTTCTTCCCCCCCCTCTAGCTAAGGTATGGTAGCGCCTCGGTGATTTATTGGACGTTAATTGGATTACCTGAAGAAACTCCTCCCAGGTGGGCTAGGGAGTGGGGTTCTTCAGGTGGAGTGGGCTGGGGAGTGGGATTCTTCAGGTGGAGTGGGCTGGGGAGTGGGGTTCTTCAGGTGGAGTGGGCTGGGGTGGGGTTCTTCAGGTGGAGTGGGCTGGGGAGTGGGGTTCTTCAGGTGGGAGTGGGGTTCTTCAGGTGGAGTGGGCGGTGGGTTCAGGTGGAGTGGGCTGGGAGTGGGTTCTTCAGGTGGAGTGGGCTGGGAATGGGGTTCTTCAGGTGGAGTGGGCTGCAGTGGGGTTCTTCAGGTGGAGTGGGCTGGGAGTGGGGTTCTTCAGGTGGAGTGGGCTGGGGGTGGGGTTCTTAAGGTGGAGTGGGCTGGGAGTGGGGTTCTTCAGGTGGAGTGGGCTGGGAGTGGGTTCTTCAGGTAGAGTGGGCTGGGGAGTGGGGTTGTTGTAGACTACTGTAGGAACCGGGTACTGATATCACCACCCCTGCTGCTGCTCATGGGATTTTAATATTCTCCTCCCCTCCCTCCCTCCTCCCCCCTCCCCTCCCCTCCCTCCCCCTCCTCCTCCCCCTCCCCCTCCCCCTCCTCCCTCCCTCCTTCCCCCCTCCTCCCTCCCTCCCTCCCTCCCTCCCTCCTCCCTCCCTTCAAAAACAACACGTATTTCAAAGATTCCACCTAATTTCTAAACACCGTGTGGCTACTATCGGTTGTACTGGAGATAATAGCCCCCCCCCCTCCTACACCTCCACCTAGTGTGTTGTGGCACCTAGTGAGTACTGTTGTGGTTGTAAGGTGATGGTTGTTGACTTATTAAGGGACATGTGACAGGTTTATTATTATTATTATTATTATTATTATTATTATTATTTTATTATTATTACATTAAGCATTTTTCGAAGTTTAATTTTGAAGCTGTAAGTGCGTTTGTCGTGTTCAGGTTAAGAAGTTTTTAAAGTATGTGTGTGTGGAGTAAATATGTCCACAGGTAACCTACTTAATTAACCCGCATTACCTGCCATTCTCCACTCACACACACACACACACACACACACACACACACACAGAGTCTATAATAATAATAATAGTGAAAATCTAATCCAATTGTCTTTTACGTCAAGTGAGTAAATTATATACGCAGTTAGGCAAGTGTTATGGTAGTAGGAGTTACTGTGTCACCCGGTGTTTGTCATCCTCTGTGGCATTTCCTCCCCAGGTGTCGTATGTGGGTCACCCCCTGTGTGTGACATAGATAGACAGACAGACATGGAGATAGACATGCAGACATAGACAGATAGATAGATAGACATGCAGACATAGACAGATAGATAGATAGACATGCAGACATCGACAGATAGATAGATAGACATGCAGACATAGACAGATAGATAGATAGACATGCAGACATAGACAGATAGATAGATAGACATGCAGACAGATAGATAGATAGATAGACATGCAGACAGATAGACACAGACACTCACAGCCAAACAGAGAGACACACACACACACACACAAACAGATAGACAGAGACAGCGAGAGACAGAGCTCATACATATCCGCCTATATGTCTATCTGTCTGTCTGTCTGTCTGTCTCTCTCCTCTGTGTGTTTTCCCTCTGTCTGTCTGTCAATATCAACTACTGCTCTAGGTGGTGGGATGTTGGACGGTATACTGGTATTTATACTAGTTAATCAGGGTCCATTGGCTGAAGTTACCCCCTCTGTAATGTGAACCGGTGAGGCAAGGTGTGACGCAGTGTAAGATCGGTATGGCATAGTGAGGCAAGGTGTGACGCAAGGTCAAGTTATGTACACTTTCATTTGAGTAGACTAAGCCAGTTTAGTACAATCAGCCATGCACTGTACACTTTATTTTGTACATTTAGTCAGCCATGTACACTTATTTTTGTACTCAATAGGCCAGCCATGTACAGTAAATTCTGTACTCAATAGGCCAGCCATGTACAGTAAATTCTGTACTCATTTACCTGTACTGTACTAATTCACGGTCTTGTTTACATCAGGTTGTTCGTGACGCAGAGAGGCTTGCGTCACGTATGAAGCACAGAGGCGCCTGTTCCTGCGACAATGATACCGGTGATGGCGCTGGGCTGATGGTCGCCATCCCTCATACCTTCTACAGCAATATTCTACAGTAAGTGTCTTGTATTTTGGAGTTGTGCTTTACTCTTATAATATCCTTCACTCCTACAACCTCCTTCACTCCTACAACCTCCTTCACTCCTACAACCTCCTACACTCCTACAACCTCCTACACTCCTACAACCTCCTTCCACTCCTACAACCTCCTTCACTCCTACAACCTCCTACAACCTCCTACAGCCTCCTACAACCTCCACATCCTACAACCTCCTACAACCTCCTACACTCCCCAACCTCCTTCACCCTACAACCTCCTTCACCCCACAACCTCCTACAACCCTACAGCCTCCTACAACCTCCTTCACTCCTACAACCTCCCACACCCTACAACCTCCCTACACTCCTACAATCTCCTACAACCCTCCCACACCCTACAACCTCCCTTCACCCTACAACCTCCCTACAACCTCCTACAGCCTCCTACACCCTTGCACAACCTCCTACACCCTACAACCTCCTACACTCCTACAACCTCCCTACACTCCTACAACCTCCCAGCCTCCTACACCCACAACCTCCTACACCCTACAACCTCCACACCCCACAACCTCCTTCACTCCCACAACCTCCTGCCAACCTCCCACACTCCTACAACCTCCCACACCCCTACAACCTCCTACACTCCTACAACCTCCTACACTCCTACAACCTCCTACACTCCCACAACCTCCTACAACCTCCTACAGCCTCCCCACACCTTGCCAACCCCTCACCCTACAACCCTCCCACACTCCTACAACCTCCCACACTCCCTACAACCTCCTACATCCACAACCTCCCCACAACCTCCTACAGCCTCCTCCCACACTCCACAACCTCCTGCACTCCTACAACCTCCCCACACCCTACAACCTCCCTTCACTCCTACAACCTCCTACAACCCCCTCACCCCTACAACCTCCCTACACCCTACAACCTCCCACACCCTGCACAACCTCCACACCCTACAACCTCCCCACACCCTGCACAACCCTCCTTACAACCTCCCACAGCCTCCTACACTCCTACAACCTCCTACACCCCACAACCTCCTACACCCTGCAACCTCCCCACACCCTACAACCTCCTCCACTCCTACAACCTCCTACAACCTCCTACAACCTCCTACACTCCTACAACCTCCTACACTCCCACAACCTCCTACACCCACAACCTCCTTCACTCCTACAACTCCCCTGCCAACCTCCCCTACAACCTCCTACACTCCTACAACCTCCCCACATCTTGCATAACTCCTTCACCCTACAACCTCCCTACACTGCAACCTCCTCCTTCACTCCTACAACCTCCTGCACTCCTACAACCTCCCCTACACTCCTACAACCTCCTCACTCCTACAACCTCCTTCACTCCTACAACCTCCATAACCTCCCTACAGCCCCTCCCTCACCCTACAACCTCCTTTCCACCCTACAACTCCCTACACCTCCTTACAACCTCCTTTCACTCCTTCAACCTCCTCAACCTCCCACAACCTCCCACACCCTACACAACCTCCTCCTTCACTCCCACAACCCTCCTTCACTCCCTACAACCTCCCACACTCCTACAACCTCCTTCACTCCTACAACCTCCACTCCTACAACCCCTCCTTCACTCCTACAACCTCCTTCACCTTGCATAAACCTCCTTCACTCCTACAACCTCCTTCCACTCCTACAACCTCCCTTCTCACCCACAACCCCTTCACTCCTACAACCTCCTTCACCCTACAACCCTCCCCTACACTCCCACAACCTCCTTCACCCCACAACCTCCACAGCCCTACAACCCTCCTACACCCTACAACCTCCTTCACTCCTACAACCTCCTACACCCTACAACCTCCTTCACCCTACATAACCTCCTTCCACTCCTACAACCTCCTTCACCCTACAACCTCCTACACTCCTTACAACCTCCACACCCTACAACCTCCTACACTCCTACAACCTCCCTACACCCTACAACCCTACAACCTCCTCCTACAGCCTCCCACAACCTCTTTCACTCCTACAACCTCCTTCACCCTACAACTCCTCCCACAACCTCCTCAGCCTCCCTACAACCTCCTACACTCCTACAACCTCCTTCACCCCACAACCTCCTACACCCTACAACCTCCTTCACTCCTCACAACCTCCTTCACTCCCTACAACCTCCTTCAATCTTGCTAACCTCCTACAACCCTCCCTACAACCTCCTACAACCTCCCTACACTCCTACAACCCCTACACTCCTACAACCTCCTTCACTCCCTACAACCTCCTACAATCTCCCCACAACCTCCCTACACCCTACAACCTCCTTCACTCCTACAACCTCCTTCACTCCTACAACCTCCTCCTACAACCTCCTACAACCTCCTTCACTCTACAACCTCCTACCTCCTACAACCTCCTTCCTCCTACAACCTCCTACCTCCTGCCTCCTACCTCCTACAACCTCCTGGCCTCCTTCACTCCTGGCCTCCTTCACTCCTACAACCTCCTTCACTCCTACAACCTCCTTCACTCCCTGCAACCTCTTCACTCCTACAACCTCCTTCCTCCTACAACCTCCTACCTCCTGCAACCTCCTACACTCCTACAACCTCCTACAACCTCCTTCCTCCTACACATATTCCCTCCTACAACCTCCTTCACTCCTACAACCTCCTTCACTCCTACAACCTCCTGCCTCCTCCTGCCTCCTACACTCCTACAACCTCCTACAACCTCCTTCACTCCTGACCTCCTTCACTCCTACAACCTCTACACTCCTGCCTCCTACCTCCTACAACCTCCTTCCTCCTACAACCCCTTCCCACTCTACACACACACACTCCACTCACTTAAAAACAGTGAATATATACAACATGTATACACCTCATAAACGATATACTACACCCAGGGCAACATACCACCTCCAACGATATATCACCGGACAACATACCACATAACAGCAGCCAACATACAACAACCTACCACAGAACCCACGGACAACATACCACATAACAGCAGCCAACATACAACAACCTACCACAGAACCCACTGACAACATACCACATAACAGCAGCCAACATACAACAACCTACCACAGAACCCACTGACAACATACCACATAACAGCCAACATACCACAACACGCCAGCACCAACCTACAACCACTGACAACATACCATAACAGCAGCCAACATACAACAACCTCACAGAATCCACTGACAACATACCGCAGCAGCAGCCAACAGCAACAACCTACCACAGAACCACTGACAACATACCCCAGCCAACATACAACAACCTACCACAGAACCCACTGACAACATACCCCAGCCAACATACCCCAGTCAAACATAACCATAATATATGTTGGTGTTCTTAAAAATCTTATGACAAAATTGTACAAGTAAATAGGTTGATTGTGGTTGTTGTGTTAACAAATTATACAGGTAGAAAAAGTTAGGTTGATAGTGGTTTGCTTTATATAAGTAAATGGGTGGAGAAAATTTGGTTGATTGGTTGTGTTGCATTGTGTGGTTGGCTCAGTGCCCGCTAGGACTGACGGCTGGTTGATGACGTGAATAACAAAGCCTTCATGTTGGCATTACTATGTCACTATGCAACCTGTGACACTGCGTAGTATTGCCTGGCACTGTGGAGAATTACCTTGGCACTGTATGGAATTACTTTGGCACTGTGGTCTAAGGTATACTGTGTGGAATTAGCTTAGCACTATATTCTGTGGCACTGTCCATAATTACCTTAGCACTGTGTACAATTACCTGGCACTTTAATCTGTGGCACTGTCCTTAATTACCTTAGCACTGTGTACAATTACCTGGCACTTTAATCTGTGGCACTGTCCTGAATTACCTTGGCACTGTGTATACTTGCCTGGCCACTGAACCCAAAGCATTCTGCCCCCGAGAGAATCATTACCTGCCTCTCATTACTGACACACTGGCCAGGTAGGGCACACGGCACTCCTGGTTCACTGCACTTTCCTATCCACCCGTGCCAATACCCAAGCACGAGTGGGCCATCTGGCACGGGTGAGAGGGTTGGGTAGGGGTGAGTAGGGGGTAGGGGTTAAAGTAGGGGGCGAAGGGGTAGCAGTAACCTCTTTCTGTTCTCTTGGGGGACTGTCACCCCATCTGTATTTAACCTTCCTGAAATACCTGTAATAATTAGGCCGCCTCCTGGAACACCTGTCGTATTGATCAGAGAGAGAGAGAGAGAGAGAGAGAGAGAGAGTCATTGGGTATAGTGTAGTGTCATGGTTATAATGTGGGTGTCAGAATACTTGGCACTGTTCTTTACTGTCATTGACCCCAGCCACCCCTTTGATACTGTGGCACCCTCCCCCCTTAGACACTGTACCACCCTCTCCACCATTGACACTGTGCCACCCTCTCCTCTTTAACATTATGCCACCCCTCCCACATACTAACTACCCTTAACCCTAACCACGTCACTGCCTTGTTCACGTGACAGACTAATGGGGATGCGTTATCGCCTTTTATAACCAGACGTGACACATAGAGAGCTGATAGCGTCATTCATTATACACAAACTGTCGTCGGAAAATAGGCGAATGCAAGTCAATTGTTTATGTCGTGTGTGTGTGTGTGTGTGTGTGTGTGTGTGCGCCACCGGATGCACCATGTTCCCGGTGATAAATATAGCCACTTTTTAATACCACCACAGTCAAGGGCGTTTATTCCACGTGTCAGTAGGTATGATGGCAAGATGTGGTGTTATGAATCTCGGGTTTTTGGTAGGTAGTAGCTGTGAGTAATGCCCTCCACTTGTGCGTTTACAGGGGCTCATCAGGTGTTGTGCAGTGTGGCAACGTTGTGTTTGTTTACATTTAACAGAAGGAAACTAACAATAGTAAACACTACTATGGAATCAAAGGTAAACAATATTAAAACACATATCTCAAAGGTAAACAATGTTAAAACAAATATCTCAAAGGTAAACAATATTAAAACAAATATCTCAAAGGTAAACAATATTAAAACAAATATCTCAAAGGTAATGATTTGTGGAATGTTTATATGACGAGCCCCTGTAAACGCACTAGTGGAGGGAACTTGATTGTTGGCACCCTCACACACGTATTGGTCTTGTGGTAATTCATTTATTTTGTTAAATCGTCATTCTCTCTCTCTCTCTCTCTCTCTCTCTCTCTCTCTGTATTTTTCTGTAGGTCTGTTTTCTCTACTTTTCTGTCTCTCTCTCACACACACACACACACACAATGTCAGTATTATCACATTTAGAACACTCATCCTCACACACACACACACACACACACACACACAATAGTTTACCTTCCCAGAACACAGGGGTAAGCAGTACGTCGACTCAGTGACCGCGATGTCTCTGGGAATCGTGTGTTGCGCCAGAGTTGTGTCCTTGGTTAACGCTTATTGCACCACACACACACACACGTGGAGATTAACCCCTCATGGATTTAACCTAAGATTAACCTAGCCAAGACAAACCTAACCTACGATTAACTAACTCCAGCCAAGACAAACCTAACCTAACCTAACCCCACGATTAACCTAGCCAAGACAAACCTAACCTAACCCCACATTAACCTAGCCAAGACAACCTAACCCACAGATTACCTAGCCAAGACAAACCTAACTTCCAACCTACGATTAACCTAGCCAAGACAAACCTAACCTACGATTAACCTAGCCAAGACAAACCTAACCTAACCTACGATTAACCTAGCCAAGACAACCTAATCTAACCTAATAGATTAACCTAGCCAAGACAAACCCAACTCCACGATTAACCTAGCCAGACAAACCTAACCTAAATCCCATTGATTGTGAAGCCAAGACATAAACCTCATCCTACGATTAACCTAGCTAAGACAAACCTAACCTAACTCTACGATTAACTCTAGCCAAGACAAACCTAACTCTAACTCAAGATTAACCTAGCTAAGACAAACCTAACTTCACGATTAACCTAGCCAAGACAAACCTAACCTTACCTTACCACACCTCACCTCACCGCATCTCACCTCACCTCACCCTAACCTAACCTAACCTAACCTACGATTAACCTAGCCAAGACAAATCTGTTCTAACCTAACTTAATCAATTGTACTCAGACCTAATTTAACCTTACCTCACCTAATCTAACCTAACTTACCCTAATCTAATCTAACCTAACGCGTACTTTAAGCCACACTAATCTAACACATGCAGCCCAAGTGTACACATATACACACACACGTAACCCAAACATACGTAACCCAAACACACACACACACGTAACCCAAACACACACACGTAACCCAAACACACACACACACACACGTAACCCAAACACACACACACACACACACACACGTAACCCAAAACACACACACGTAACCCAAACACACACACGTAACCCAAACACACACACACACGTAACCAAACACACACACACACACACACACACACACACACACACACACACACACGTAACCCAAACACACACACGTAACCCAAACACACACACACACGTAACCCAAACACACACACACACACACACACACACACACGTAACCCAAACACACACACGTAACCCAAACACACACACGTAACCCAAAACACACACACACACGTAACCCAAACACACACACACACACACACACACACACACACACACACACACGTAACCCAAACACACACGTAACCCAAACACACACACGTAACCCAAACATACACACGTAACCCAAACACACACACACACACACACACACACACACACACACACACACACACACACGTAACCCAAACACACACACACGTAACTCCAAACACACACACGTAACCCAAACACACACACACGTAACTCCAAACACACACAAACACACACACACACACACACACACGTAACCCAAACACACACACACACACACACACACACACACACACACTGCAACCCAAAACACACACACACACACACACACACACACACACACAATACAGAGTAGGATCCAGGATAACAGATAATAACTTATACTAAGAGCCCCTCACCAGGTAGAGACCTCTCAACCTAATCACTAACCTGTGACCTGCCAGGTAAGATTGGGACTCACCTGACGTCACCTTATCAGCCCAAAAGTAGGGTAGGTGATATAGGTGCTCTTAACAGGTAATCATAGCCCAGGTCACCTAAACATTAGAAATTATAGGTGATGTAGAATGATGCCTTGAGGATTATAGGTGGTGTAGAATGATGCCTTGAGGATTATAGATAGTGTAGAATGATGCCTTGAGGATTATAGGTGGTGTAGAATGATGCCTTGAGGATTATAGGTGGTGTAGAATGATGCCTTGAGGATTATAGGTAGTGTAGAATGATGCCTTGAGGATTATAGATAGTGTAGAATGATGCCTTGATATTCATGCATGACTGTATGAGTGTGTGAAGTAACCTGTACTTAAGTGTGTCTGTGTGTGTTGGAAAGTTCTTGTCGGATCACCTGAAGATTAACCCCCCTAATACTATATTGGGTGGGTTAGGTTAGGTTTTGGTGGTTAAATAAGGTGAAATAATCTGGGGTAGACGTTCTTCAGGTGACCCCCCAGGTGAGTCCTCATGTGTTAAGGTCGTGTTCACCTGACCCGTTTCATTGTTCGCTCATCCGGCTTCGACACACACACACACACACACACACACACACACACACGCGCGCGCACACACCTCATGTTATCTTATCAACGATTTAATTTTCCTGAATTAATTTGTTGACATTAAAACCACATATTGAGAGGCGATGTATTAATGTAATGCATCTAGGATTAGCCAACCTAGATTACCATAGATTAGATTAAAACAGATTAGATTAGGTTAGGTTAGGTTAAGATAGCTTAGGTTAAGTTAGGATACATTGTTACCATAGATTAGGTTAGCGTCAGGGTGGTCATTCTTCAGGTGATATAAGCTGGGGTGGTCATTCTTCAGGTGATATAAGCTGTTGTGGTCATTCTTCAGGTGATATAAGCTGTTGTGGTCATTCTTCAGGTGATATAAGCTGTTGTGGTCATTCTTCAGGTGATATAAGCTGTTGTGGTCATTCTTCAGGTGATATAAGCTGGGGTGGTCATTCTTCAGGTGATATAAGCTGGGGTGGTCATTCTTCAGGTGATATAAGCTGTTGTGGTCATTCTTCAGGTGATATAAGCTGGGGTGGTCATTCTTCAGGTGATATAAGCTGGGGTGGTCATTCTTCAGGTGATATAAGCTGTTGTGGTCATTCTTCAGGTGATATAAGCTGGGGTGGTCATTCTTCAGGTGATATAAGCTGGGGTGGTCATTCTTCTACCTGATGATAATGTAATAATATATCAGGGTTCCCACACTACCGGGAAAACGGGGAAAAACAACTTGATTATGAGTTAAGTTCCCAATGTTAATCCGGGAACTTGGTGTAAGAGTTTAGGGAAATATTGAGTTTCTTAGAGGAGTTACGTGTGATGTCCTCCTGCTCCACCTGCTCCACCTCCACCTCCTGCTCCACCTCCTGCTGCTCCACCTCCTCCTGCTCCACCTCCACCTCCTGCTCCACCTCCTCCTCCTCCTCCTCCTCCTCCTCCTCCTCCTGCTCCTCCATCTCCTCCTCCAGCTCCTCCTCCTTCTCCTCCTCCTCCTCCAGCTCCTCCTCCAGCTCCTCCTGCTCCTCTTCTTTGATGTCTAGTCAGTGTTGGAGGAAGATCTGTATAGTGCATTCATGAGTACGCTGATCACACACACATACAGGTTTCTGGGGCAGATCAGATGGAACTTGTATGAGCTGATCACATCTCAGGGAGGGCGAGAAGCATGGTGTGTGTGTGTGTGTGTGTGTGTGTGTGTGTGTGTGTGTGTGTGTGTGTTTCAGCCCCTCCCCATACATTATAGTGCAGGTAGAGTGTGAGGGTAACGACAGATAGATACACACACAGACAGACAGATAGATAGATATAGATAGATAGATAGATATAGATAGATAGATATAGATAGATATATATAGATAGATATATAGATAGATATATAGATAGAGGGAGAGAGAGAGAGCGCAGGAATACCTGGAGGTGTGTGTGGTGGGGTCGGTCACCCGGAGTCCTCACTACTGCTCACAAGGTCTTAACACACTCACACACACACACACACACAGTCACACACACACAGTCACACACAGTCACACACACACTCAGCCTTCTGGCTGCCAAGCTCTTTCAATAAACCGTTAATTATTATTACACACACACACACACACACACACACACACACTCATAGTCACCGGCGGGCCAGCACATCACCCCAGGCGCTGGCTCTCCTCTGGGCTGTTTCCAGGAAGTTCACCCCACCTGTCTGGCCCCTGGGTGATGGCGGCGCCTCTAGCTGGTGTTTCCTCATTATTCCCGGTAACTTTCCTCACTTCACCTCAACCTAACCCAATTTTACCTCGCCTAACCTAACCTCATCTCGCCTAACCTCACCTCATCTCGCCTAACCTCACCTAACCCGACTTCAACTAGCTTACATACGAGACTTTAGATCACCTGAAGATTAGGCACCCTAGTTAATGTCACCTGAGAATTTAACACCCTAAGTTAATTTCACCTGAGAATTTAACACCCTAAGTTAATTTCACCTGAGAATTTAACCCCCTAAGTTAATTTCACCTGAGAATTTAACACCCTAAGTTAATTTCACCTGAATTAACACCCTAAGTTAATTTCACCTGAGAATTTAACACCCTAAGTTAATTTCACCTGAGAATTTAACACTAAGTTAATTTCACCTGAGAATTTAACACCTAAGTTACATAACATAAGAACATAAGAATGGAGGAAACTGCAGCGGGCCTATTGGCCCATACTGGGCAGTCCCGTTTACACCAACCCTATTGCTCATATGAGCATCAACCTGTTTGAAGCTAATTCAGCGTATTCGAGTTAATGATGATATTTGGTAACTTGTTCCATTCATCCACTACTCTGTTTCCAAACCAGTGTTTACCTATTTCACGCCTAAATCTAAATTTGTCCAATTTAAAACCATTGTTACGAGTTCGCTCCTGGTTGGATAATTTGAGTACCTTTGTAATGTCCCCTTTGTTTAGCCCTGCCTTCCACTTATACACCTCTATCAGGTCGCCCCTCGCTCTACGTCTCTCAAGGGAGTGCAGATTAAGATGCTTTAACCTGTCTCTATACTCAAGGTTCCTAATGCCCGGGATTAGTCTTGTCATTCTCCTCTGAATTCTTTCCAAGGATTCTATATCCATTCTGTAATACGGTGACCAGAACTGAACTGCGTAATCCAGGTGTGGTCTCACAAGAGCAAGATACAGTTTTAGGATGACCTCGCTAGTCTTGTAACTAACACTCCTTTGTATGAACCCAAGTACTTTATTAGCCTTGTTACGAGCAAAAACACATTGTTTACTTGGCTTAAGGTTCCTACTTATCATTACTCCTAAATCTCTCTCGCAGTCGGATTTCTCTATGGCATCGTTGTTCATCTGGTATCTGGTTTCCCTGTTTACATTTCCTATACTGAGTACTTTACATTTGTCGATGTTGAATGTCATCTGCCATTTTTCAGACCATTCGAAAAATTTGTTTAGATCCTCCTGTAGTTTTGCCGAGTCCTCGTCAGATTTGATAACACGTCCTATTTTAGTATCATCAGCAAATTTACTTATGTTGCTGTCTATGCCGATATCTATGTCGTTTATGTATATAATAAACAATAATGGTCCAAGTACTGAGCCTTGGGGAACTCCACTTGTGACGTTGCTCCAATGGGACTTAGTGCCGTTAATGCTCACTCGCTGTTTTCTGTCCTGTAACCACGCCCTAATCCATTTAAGGATGCCACCTTTGATGCCATGAGCTTCTACCTTTCTAATTAGTCTTTCGTGGGGGACTCTGTCGAAGGCTTTGCTAAAGTCGAGATATACCACATCATAATTGTGCCCCTCGTCCACTGATTCAAAAACTGATGAAAAGAATGTTAATAGATTAGTTAGGCAAGAACGTCCGCTTGTGAAGCCATGCTGGGAATCATTGATCAATCGGTGCTTCTCCAGGTGATTTCGAATAGAGTTTGAAATGATTGCTTCCAGTAATTCACCTGAGAATTAACCCCCTAAGTTAATTTCACCTGAGAATTTAACACTAAGTTAATTTCACCTAATGATTAAAACCCTAATCCTACCTGGAGGGGGGGGGGTGCTAGATTAGGATTAAGATGTTATCAGGTGGATTAATCTCTGGGGTATTTGATCTTCAGGTAATCCCATTCTTATCAAGTGAAAATATCTCATCTATATCTGAAACGACACAAAGATGGACTAAATCACTAAACTCCATCAATCTACACTTTGGCTGTACCAGTTACGAGGGTAATTGGTTGTTAGGGGTCTGGGGTGACATAGTTCAGAAAGATTCATATTTTCACCAATTGGAAAAAGGAGAATGTGTGTTGCTTGGTGTATTACATGTGTTGTCTGGTAGTGTTGTTGGGGTGCCACTGTTGACCCCCTTACCTCCCACCTCCCCTCCCCCCTTACCTCCCACCATCCCCCTTACCTCCCACCACCCCCTTACCTCCCACCACCCCCCTTGCCTCCCACCCCAAACCCTAGACCTATACCCAAATACCATGGAGATAGAAGACTGCCCAAGCCAGACAGAGTATTGGGCACACACACACACACTCACACACTCACACACACTCACTCACTCACACACACACACACACACACACACACACACACTATAGACAATGCTAGCCCTGAACCGTACTACAGTGTTAGGTGTTAACTTTACTAAATGTACTGTTCATCTTTAACTCTTTAGCACCTGAGCTGTTTAGGGTAGAGTCTGAGGCTACACGTACTGTACAGTCTTTTAACACCAGGTAGAGTTAATGTTACCATCATTAACACTGATAATAATAATAATAATAATAATAATAATAGTAAATAATAATAATAAAATAATAATATAAATAATACAATAATAATAATAAATAATAATATAAATAAGGTTAAAAATAATAAATAATAATAATAATAATAATAATAAACACTACATCAACATATAGAATACAGTACAGGTCTATGAAGGAACAGTAACAGGACAAAGTAACAGTAACTTCTTGTGTGTACTGAAGGTGTTTGTGTATAAGTAGCAGTGTGGGTGAGTTTTATTTTGGGCTGTCGAGTGGTGGGGCATATATAGTGGTGGGTGTGGCTTTACCGTCCCGTCCCGTCCCGTCCCGTCCCGTCCCGTCCCACCTCACTCCTCAGTTTCCCTCAGGTAGAAGTGAAGGGTCGAGAATGTATAGTTGTATTTTTGTTTAGTTTTGGGATTAAGGTTTGTGTGTGGGGGGGAGGGGGAGGGGGTACATGGTGAGGGAGGATCTGAGTATGAGAGGAAAAAATGAGGCGCTTGTGTGTGTGTGTGTGTGGATCGCGTGAGGTGCCAAGTGTGTGTGGATCGCGTGAGGTGCCAAGTGTGCCAGTCGGTATAAAATAAAGGCACTACACTGCTCTGCCCTCCAGCTGTAATAGTAAAAGTTGACCTGTCTTGACCTCACTTGGCAACTCTCACTTGATATTGTCGAGTTCTACCCATTTACTGTGTTATCGTAACCATTTGTCTATTATCCCTGAGTATTAATAGAATGACGTCTATTATCCCCGAATATTAATAGAATGACCTCCATAATCCTCGAATATTAATAGAATGACGTCTATTATCCCCGAATATTAATAGAATGGCGTCTATTATCCCCGAATATTAATAGAATGACCTCCATAATCCTCGAATATTAATAGAATGACGTCTATTATCCCCGAATATTAATAGAATGACGTCTATTATCCCCGAATATTAATAGAATGACGTCTATTATCCCCAAAGTATAGATAGAATGATAGACATTGATGTTATTCGACCTCTTGTCTCCTCACAGCTTCCGGGATGGTGTCTAGGGTGCCACCGGTCTAGTCTTGGCACTGTGTGTGTTAAGCCACGTGGTGCCTGGGGAGTGTTCACGTGGTCTCGTATCTGGCTTACCTGGGGCTTAGTTGTGTGTTTCTCTTTAGTTATGTGGCTTTTCTCTCTCTCTCTCTCTCTCTCTTTGTATTACTCGGGTCTTCAGTATTTACAGGTAACACCAAGACGTAGGTAGTTGAAGATAAACCATATCTTTTTATTTTTATGACGACTGAGGTTATTGGACGTTTAAGGACCTCTCCTGGTTTGGTTACGTTTGGGTTGGGTGGTGTGGGGTTGGGTTGGGTTAGGTGGGGTTGGATTAGGTTTTAGTCAATCTACTGGAAAGTTAACCCCTCCGAGAAAAGATAGTTGTTTGAGTTACTGTTCATATTGCTGGCACTGTTGTTGTTACTGGCACTCCTATTAATGGCACTGTTGTTGTTACTGGCACTCCTATTGTTACTGGCACTGTTGTTGTTACTGGCCCTCCTATTAATGGCACTGTTGTTGTTACTGGCACTCCTATTAATGGCACTGTTGTTGTTACTGGCACTCCTATTAATGGCACTGTTGTTGTTACTGGCACTCCTATTAATGGCACTGTTGTTGTTACTGGCACTCCTATTGTTTTGTTGTTCTGGCACTCTATTAATGGCATTTTGTTACTGGCCTCCTATTAATGCTGTTATTTTGCACTCTATTAATGGCCTGTTGTTTTTGTTTGTTTTTTAATGGCACTGTTGTTGTTACTGGCACTCCTATTAATGGCACTGTTGTTAGCACTCTTGTAATGGCACTGTTGTTGTTACTGGCACTCCTATTAATGGCACTGTTATTACTGGCATCTATTAATGGCACTGTTGTTGTTACTGGCACTCCTATTAATGGCACTGTTATTACTGGCACCTATTAATGGCACTGTTGTTGTTACTGGCACTCCTATTAATGGCACTTTTGCTTGGTGTTGTTACTGGCACTCCTATTAATGGCACTTGTAGTTAATGACAAGAATAATTCCAATAACAATAAGAAACTACCACAGTAACTAGGACATCATAACCCTGTATGTCGCAGGTATTCAAGTGGCTGAGTCACTGACCTACCTTAGTGAAGTTGATTACAGTTGATTACAGTTCTTAGTACAAGTTGAAGAGGTTAGTACTCAGGTCGTGTACTGTGCGTGGTAATGTTATCTCTGGGGGCATTGTACTCATTGGCGCCAAGAGTCTGAGTGAAAGTGTGTGTGTGTGTGTGTGTCTGTCTGTCTGTCTGTCTGTCTGTCTGTCTCTGTCTGTCTCTGTGTCTGTCTGTGTTTTAAGTGGATGTGTTTTAGTATGTATATGTGCCTGTACGTGTGAGTCGTTGCGTGCGTCCGTGCGTGGTTTGAGTGTGAGTGAGTGTGGTTTGAGGTGTGAGTGCGTGTGTAGCCCCCAGCTTCCAGACGTCCATTCCATTTAAGGTCACCTACGAGCGGCTGCATGATAGCACGGTTTGTTAGTAGTGAAGATAGTGTTTTTTAATTATCGTGTAAGTTGGCAGCCCTGCAGTTACTGGGTCGTGACACGTTTTGGATGCAGTGTCGTGTTTACATTGGTTGTCCCCTCCACCACCACCCTTCCCTACTCCTCCCTACCTCCACCCCACCTTCCCCCCACCCCACTCTCCCCACCCCACCGGGTTTCTTTCTCAACCTTCATCTCCCTCCACCCCTCCTTCCCACCTCCCATCCCCCCTCTTCACCCCAATCCCCTCCCCACTCCACCGTCCCCCTCCCCACTCCACCATCCTCCCTACCCCACCATCCCTCTCCCCCACCCACCATCCTCCCCACCCACCCCATCACTGCATATGATAAGATTTTCACTGTGTTGCTAATTTTGACTCTCTCTCTCTCTCCTCTCTCTCTCTCTCCTCTTCCATGATGGCCACCTTATGAAGCTGCTGCCTTAAGTTACAACTCGGTGTATGTTTATATGTATTTATTTCCAGTTTAAATATGGCGAGTTAAAATTTGGTAGGGAGGTGCGGGTGTGTAAGGTGGATAACTCAGTATTGGATAAACCGGATTGTGTTACATGGATTACTAGATAGATCAAGGTTAATGGGATGTCTTGTAAGTCAACATCAAGATCTATAACAAATGTTGGGTTAGTGTGAGTCACCAGTGGTCATCACAAGTCTTTAGTGCTGATAGGGAAATAATTTGTTCGATCTACCAGGGAAATGATTCTTGGTAATGGGGGGAATACGCACGCACGCACACGCACGCACACGCACACGCACAGCACGTCTATGTTAAAGCCCATCTCAGACATAAGCCTCTGAGGTCATGGTCTCCACACATCCCTAAACAAACACATACACTCTCTCTCTCTCTCTCTCTCTCTCTCTCTCTCTCTCTCTTTTATTTTTTATTTCTCACTTCTCTTTCATTCTCTCATTCTCTGCTTCTTTTTCTCATTCATTCATCCACTCAGCATATTTGCCACAGCAACTGGTCATGTCCTGCCGTCTAGTTGGTGAGCGAGAATCAGTTCAGCAGTTGAGTCAGGTGGTGTTGCTGGCTCACCTTGTCCCGATGCATTCTTACATGCTCACTGTTTACACCTCTACCCACCCTCCACCCCTCACTCCCCCACCCACCTCACCCCTCCACCCCTCCCCCCACTCCCCCACCCTCCTCTACCCCCTCCCCACCCCCACCCCCTCATCTCTACCCCCTCACCCCTCCACCACCTCTACCCCTCACCCCCCCACCCCCACCTCCCCTCACCCCCACCCCCTCACTTTCACCTGCTTGGCAACATTTGCATGTCCATTTTAGTGGTGGTCTCCTCCTCCAGCCAACTAACACTCACTTTCAGGAGGTTTTTGCCCTGGTGGTGATGTTGGTGACGTGGCCTCCTCACACCCGAATCTATTGGGGGGGAAAGTCAACCTAACCCAGCCCAGTGGTCAGGATTGTGGTAGTTGTCAGGGTAGGGTTGGTGTTTAGGGTAGGTCACGGTAGGGTAGGGTAGTTGTGAGTGTAGGTCAGTGACTGCTGGTCTTCCCTTGTTGTGGTCATGCAGGAGCCAGTTTATACAGTGACGGTCAACATTATTACTCGGTGTTTAGTCTTTTGAAACACACACACACACACACACACACTACTGCTTTGCTGTCACTCGGAATCGAGTATGACGATCATCCAGCTCTGATACAACGATATGAGTTATTAAGGATGTCACCTTCGTTGGCGAGTTCTGAGGTGACTAAAGAGGCCGATACGGGACCCGCAGGGTCGATCACAGATGTTGCACATGTGGAGGGCTACATCTAGTGCGGGAGGGGTGGCGGAAGCGTCTTTCCGGCGTTGGCGCTCGTCTGCCTCGTTATACAGTCGGGCTAACTCGAAAGTATTGACACCTTCTCGTGGTGCTCCTCCAAGCGTTACGGTGTGGAGTAATCGTCTCCCAGGTGAGGGGGTCGATTTGGCACTTTTTTCAGGTTTATCTTAAGACTATCCTTATACCCTTTCAGTTGCCTGCCAGCGTTACGTTTACTATTCGTTAGGTGACTGTAAAGTAACTGTCGCCCGTGTGGGTAACATGGTCAGTCCAGCGTAGTTGTTCATGGATAATGGTAGCCTCGCTGCTCCTACACACTAGTATACCTAATGGCCACACTGTAAAGAAGTATCTCCTTATATTCGTCCTCCATAACACCTTGGCGAGATTGAAGTTGTCCCATCTCGTGTTGGTGACGCGTGACACCACAAAAAATCTATCAGGTCAGGTCATGTTAGGACAGGATAAGGTCATGTCAGGTCAGGTCAGGTATATTGTATGCCTGAGATCCGCTCTATTGTGTCTTGTCTGAAGAGATCTGCCCTAAGGTTCTCAGTCTACCTGGGTAATAGAAACAATTTAGCTCACGTATGATTCTTCGCTCCGTGTTGGAATATTTGTAGTGATGTTGTGTCTAGGAGGGGAGGGACATGGTAGCCTCTCTCTCTCTCTCTCTCTCTCTCTCTCTCTCTCTCTCTCGTGATAATTGACTTTCTGATATACTGTCTTCTATATTATAATGTTATTGCTCTTGTCACAACTAGTAACCACCAGTCAAGTTAATAAGGCTGCTCATCTCACACGTACACTATCACCCTGAGACCAGCTTACTAACTCAGTTTTATTGCAACATCAGTATTACCTTGTGCAAGACATTGATATGTATGGTGCATGAAAATCACACTTCGTTGATCTAATGAATACTGTTGGGGTGGCGGAGATTCTGACGACGGGAGAATTTGTTGTTAGAGGTAAGGTTTATTATGCTTACTGTGTGTTGATTAAATTGCGCCTTGAACAGTAAAACCTCGATATAACGGATTATAACTGAGGAGAGTCCGTTGTATCGAGGGTCCGTTAGATGTGGAACCTCCATTTAACGAACTGAATAGAGATGAAAGTCCATTATAACGAGGGTTTGTTTAATATGCAACCTCTACTTAAGAGACTATAACAGAGGAAAGGTCCGTTATATCGAGGGTCCGTTAGATGTGAACCCCCATTTAACGGATTATATGGCGAGAGAAGTCCGTTATATGGAGGTTTTAACTGTATACAAATAAAATCATCTGGGTTAGGTTAGGGTACGATAACCTTAACTTGCAGGACGATGACTAACCCTTGGGGACGATAACTTCACGCCGGGCACGATGACAACGCCCAGGGACGATGACTTAACCCTTGGGGACGATGACTTAAGCCCTTTGGGGACGATGACTTAACCCCATGGGGACGATGACTTAACCCTTGGGGACGATGACAACGCAGGACGATGACAACGCCAGGGACGATGACTTAACCCCTTGGGACGACGACTTAACGCGGGACGACGACAACGCGCAGGGACGACGGCTTAACGCGGGGACGACGACACTTGCCAGGCGCGAGGCAACGCCCTTGCGACGACAACGCGGGCGACGACAACGCCCAGGGACGACGGCTTAGCCGCGGGGACGACGGCAGTGAGGACGACGACAACGCCAGGGACGATGACTTAAGACTTTGAAATTCTCGCGATTATACAAGATTCAATGGGTTTTTAATACGATATGTTTCATTGTTTTTGTTGACACATTGTTGTTATTGTGTTGACAGTCATTGTTGTTGTTGTTGACAGTCATTGTTGTTGTTGTTGTTGACGGGAGGGCATGGAGTGTCGTTGCCTGAGCCTGGACGCTACGCTACAGGCATCTTCTTCCTGGACAAGACTCACCACCAGGAGACCGAGCAACTCTTTGATGACCTCGCTGCTGAACATAACCTCAAGGTAGGCTACATCACCTCTTCTTGTCAGTGTATTGGTGTAGGAGGTTATGGGGTGGGTGTAAGTGTGTGTGAATGGGAACGGTGTAGGTATGTATGTATGGGAAGAGTGTTGTGTGTGTATTTATTTATGTATGTATGGAGGATGGGTGTAGGTAGGTGTGTGTGTTAGCCAGCCAGCCAGGCATGTGGGTACACCTTAAAGTAGCCTTTTCGCCCACTCAAAACTCTCCTCCCGCCATTCTTAAACTCAGGAACCGGATTCTCAGTGACCCACCTCCTCCATCGCCAGTGACCCCCCCATCTGTTCCCAGCCCTCACACCATCCTGGCCCTCACCAGCCCCTGGCCCTCACCAGCCCCTAACAGCCTCACGCCAGCCCTGGCCTCACACAGCCCCTGGCCACCACACCAGCCCCTAGCCCTCACCAGCCTAGCCCTCACACCAGCCCCTAGCCCCTCCACCAGCCCCTAGCCTCACAGCCCCCTAGCCTCACACCAGCCCCCTGGCCCTCACACCAGGCCCCTGGCCTTCACCCAGCCCCCTGGCCTCCACCAGCCCCCTAGCCTCACACCAGCCCCTAGCCCTCACACTCAGCCCCCTAGCTCTCACCAGCCCCCTGTCCTCAACACCAGCCCCTAGCCCTCACACCAGCCCTAGCCTCACCCAGCCCTCTAGCCCCTCCACCAGCCCCTCGCCCTCACCAGCCCCCTAGCCCTCCACCAGCTGCCAGTCCTCATGGCCTGAATATATTTTTAGAGAGTAGTAGATATATAAAGTATTTGACCGGCCTTACTGGGGTCTTTTTCCGAGTGTCTGTGATCGTCACTTTCTTCCCTGTCTGTCTGTCTGTCTCCTATCCCTCTCCCCCCCCACCTGCTCTCTCTCCTCTCCCCCCTTTCTTTTCCATTCCTTTCCTCTTTCTCCCCTTTCCTCTCTTCTCTTATCTTGTTGGTGGTGTTGTGGTGGTGTTGTGTGTGTTGTGTGGTGTTGTGTGTGTGTGTGTGG